CCTGCAGAACACCTTAGAAGAGACTGCACTCAATCGGCGTGGAGCACCGGCACTTGGTCATTTTGTTACCGCACTCGCCAAACATTTCGATATCGATCCTATGGCCTACACATTGCACGACGATACGTGGGGACCAAACAAGACTCAGATGCGATGTATTAATTTTAATGAGCTCAAGCAGGCTGACCTCATCAAGAACCGCACCACAGCTCAGGAGTATACGAAACGTCAGGCTTACGAGACCTATTTTAAAAAGCTCCGGCAGAGTGTGCCCGATTCCAATCAGCCAGGCTCGTCTCGGCAGCTGACAGACGGAGACGAGCATGAGCAAATGAACGTCGACGATTCCCATTCCCTCCCACATCCAACCATATGCACACCCCCGATCCCACAGCCCGAGATTCCAATCCAGCAGCCACCGGCATGGTGGTCCACTTTTCAGACTCAGTACACGTCCGACATCCGCTCTATCCACGACCGCTTCGACAGCCTTAATGACGATCTCCGGTCTATTCGTGAGCGGCAGGAACAACAGGATGCTGGGATGGGCATCTTGGATCATAGGTTCACCCAGTGGGAAACCCGTTGGACCTCGGAACCCAGTCAGCCTTTCCCCCCTCCGCCACCACCACCTTCGGATGAACAGTGACGTTTCACTGTGCTTTGAATGTTGTTCGCACGTTTTCATTATGTTCTATCCTGGTTTATGAATGTTGTTCGCACTTTTGAACTCCAGAACATATTTTTCGGATTGTTATTTTCGGATTCGTTTTGCACTAGGATTTTGACTTTGAACTTTCGTATTAATCGTAAGCTTCTATTTTCGTTTTATTAATGAATGTCATGGCTTTCTTTAATATGAATGTTTGTGTTCAGATCGCTATGAGTAACGAAAATCTGGATTCTTGCCAAGAAACTGGTTTCTTGCCAAGAAACTGGTTTCTTGAACAAAAATCTGGTTTCTTGCCAAGAAACTGGTTTCTTGAACGAAAATCTAGATTCTTGCCAAGAAACTGGTTTCTTGCCAAGAAACTGGTTTCTTGCCAAGAAACTGGTTTCTTGAACGAAAATCTGGTTTCTTGCCAAGAAACTTGGCAAGAAACCAGTTTCTTGAGCAATCACCCAAAATCTGTGAAGGTATTCATCGCCGTGGCCACGCCCAAGAACTTCTCCGCGGCCGCGACCACCGTCCGCGGCCGCGAGACACATCCGAGGCCGTGATATATTTTGCGCTGAACTTGAAATTTGGGACACCAAAAATACTCGCCGCGGCCGCGGCTATGAAACACCCCGCAGCCGCGACCACTTATTTTTTTTTCCTTAATTTTATTCATTCAAAATTTTAGGGACTTCACACACTTCACTTCAATTTTCAATCATCTTAAAAATAACTACTACAAACATAA